TGCTTTTAAAAAAAAGCCCTTTCCCGGGGCCCCCCCCCCCCCCCCCCCCCCCCCCCCCTCTCCAGGTTGATTCCCTGGACGCCAGCAGCTTCAGCGCCGCCGACGGCGGCGGCCACGTCTCTGTGCTGGCCACTTTGGATGAGTCCGCGGAGCTGTGGGGCGCCGATGGGGAGCAGGGGGAGAGCTACAAGACCACGTACCAGGCGGGTGGTGTTGTGGTGCTGGGGCGTGCATCTGCACATGCATGGTCAGTATCTGTCGTTGGCCCGGCTCGCGCCCACCATGTGCCAGGTGTTGGCACCAACCAGGCAGCTCTGACCCCATCCTTTGATCGTTGCTGCAGGTGGAGTACACTCTGGTGTACAGTGGCGGCGGCTGGAAGATAGCCAGCGCCCTTGTGCTCAGCTCATAGCCCGCGCCCCAATGTTGAAGGAACCTGCCACGCCGCGCAGTTTCTGCACTGCTACCTTTGCTCTGTGTTGACGACTGTGACTGATTATTGCTCCCTGGTGCGCTGTAAGTGGCAAGCTCCAGTAGCTGCCGCAGCAGGCTGCGTTCGACGGACCGGTCACAAGAGTGCTACTAGATGTTGGCAGGAGGGTGGGCGCCCACCCGGCTCCGAGCCGGGCGAGTCGCTGGCCAGTTAGGATGGCAGCTATGGGGGCTTGAGTGGACAGGGATCCGAGCCCGGGTGCAGAGTCCGCTGGTGGCGCAGGTGTACACATGTGAGGATACTGTTGTTGCCATCACACGCTAGGCTGGCACTGCAGGGAGACCAACAGGCACGGCGACACCCGCAGCCTGGCCTCCTGCGGCGCACCGCGCCTGCATGCAGCGGCGCTGATGGCTGGCTGCTGGACCTGAGGAAAGCTCGACTGATATGGGGTTTACGCTTGCCTGCCAGCTCCGCTTCTTCCCCGTCTTGTGCCGCTTGCACTGGGCACCGCCGCAGGCTTCTCCCGGCGGAGCCTGCGGTCTGCTGTGCGGCCAAATTGATAGGTGTTGAGCTCCAAGCTCGCGGTCAGGGGGTGAGGGATCGATGGGGGAGCCCTTACAACAACCCCATGTCGGCAAGCCCATGTTGAGGGATCTCCTTGTAAGGGCTGACAATGGCCCTTGTTGTTGCCTTGAGATAAGGCAATGGTGACGTGGGGGCCCAAAGTTGAGATGGCGCTGCCTCGCCTGGTGCGCTTCACGCTTCCTGCGCTGCCGGCAAGGGGAGGAGGCACCACGATACAACAAGTTAATGCCCTCAGCTCAAACTCAATATGCATACGACGACACAACGCCGTGTCGTCATATGCGCTAGCGCCAGCCAGGCGTAGCCAGCAAGCTGCCGGTCAGGCGTAGCCAGACGATGCTGGCGGCAGGCGGGATGCACGGGCTGAGGCAGCAGGCTGCATCCTCTTGTGGTGGCTCGGCAGCCGACAGTAAAATAGTGGGAGATCGAGCCAGTGCCCCCAGTGCGTTCAGCGACAGCATACGCTGGCGGTGAGGCGGTGGTGAGGCGGTGGCGGTGGCTGTGGCAGCAGCTGACCTGCTGCTGGGCCTGTTTCCCACACAGACTCGCTTGAAGAAGCAATCTCGGAGGTGATTACAGTCCAGCGCTCTACCCCCAGCCGATTAACAACCGAGCGCTCTAGAGGGTAACCCCGTAGCGCCCTTCATCTTTCGATCGCCCCAGAGCTGCATGGCCTTAAAACTCCTGCGTGTGCGGGCGCTGTGGACGTGTAGGTGCAGCAGCGCATCCAGCCATGGGGGCAGGGCGCAGCCGGTCCTCAGGCGCTCCTCCTGCGCTTCTTCTAGCCTTCACCGACCATGCTTGGCTTGAGAGCTGCGCTGCGGGCTGCCTCTGTGGTGGGCGGGGTGGGGCGGTGCTGCCGCCACGCTGCCACCGCTGCTCGAGGCACGTGCCTCGGCGCGTGTACTGTACTGTCCTCCTCTCCCTCGGCTGATACTGGCCTAATGTCTCCCGTGCCCCTTCCCACCAGCGCACTATCCTTCTTCCACTTCCTAACAGTGCATCATACACTCACTGGCTTTGCCCTCCGCGCTCCGTGCACCATCGTGGCGGTCCCGGTGCTGGTTGCGGACCTTATGCTTGCAGACCTTAGGCTGGCTGGTGTGCTTGTCAGTGTGGGCAGCTGGGCTGCACGCTGATGAAGTAGCGGCGCCGGCGGGTGGCGCCTGGCACGTGCGTTCCAGCCACCACGCGTTCAAGTAGCCACCCACAGGCGAGCAGACAGCTGAGATTGCGGTGATAGGGCTCCCCGGCTTGGCAGCGGAGGCTGCCGCTGGATGCCTTCCCACACACGAGCATGCCTGCAGACGCCTTTGCGGCTGGCTGCACGCCTTCTACAGCATGTCAGTCAGCGGCGTGCGGGTGCAGCGGGTGTGGATCACGCAGAATGGGCGGATGGCGCTTGAGGCGTCGCTGCCCGCCGCCATGGCTGCTACTGTGCTGGCTGCAGCAAGCGGCTCAAGCGTACTGGGATCACCCTTGGGCCCGTCCTCAGCCCCAGCGAGCTGCGCGAACGGGAGGCGCGCAGGCAGCAACAGCCACAGCCCACCCCGCGCCCGCCCCAGCCTGGCCGACAGCGCCGTGCGCAGCGCTCCGCCCCGCCAGCAGCCGCTAACGCGGCAGCACAGAGGCGCGGCAAGCAGCCGCCGCCGCCGCCGCTTGCCGGCGGCACGGTGCAGCAGCAGCAGCAGCAACCACCACCGCCGCCCGACGGCGGCAGGAGGGAGCAGCAGCAGCAGCAGCCACCGCCGCCGCCTGACGGCGGCGGCGAGCAGCCACCACGTGCGCACGCCACCCCTGCCGCGGCCCCCCACCCGCAGCAGCCGGCCCCCACCGTGTCACCGCCCTCACCACCGGCGGCACAGTGGCCGCCCTTGGCCAGTGCCGTTGTTCCTTTTAGCGGCGGCCACG